TATTTTTTGCTGCATTTATACAAAAACTATGAAAGATAAAATCGCTTTTTAAGTTCATGGAATTTGATTCGAAGCAATAATGGAACAATAATTTTAGAAACACAGTTTAACAGTCAAATAGCGCCTTGAGCAGAATTCTTAATAACACACCTATACCGATTTTCAATGTTAAGAGGAGCAGTTTTGAGTTCGGCTTTTCGTAATAAATCTGGTGATTTAGGACGTTCTGGAAGAGATGATCGATCAAGCGACTTTTCTCTTGTGTGTTTCAGGAGTGCGGAAGAACCGGATGATTCAGCACCATCTTCCATGGATAAGCCACAAGATATCGGCTTTTGCACTGCAAAATAGGGCTTTATGGAGGATTTTGGCTGGGAAATTCTAAACACTGCTCATGAATCTTTCATATAACTTGAAGTTATCAAGTTTTTTCCCTGCATTAACTGTTCCTCACTTGTAGTTTAAATTGGAATCATAAAACGTCAGCTGGAAGCAAGAACAAAAGCTTTCAATAGAGGTCAAATTTGTTATTCGATCAGTAATACGGTTAAATCTGAATGAATTAATTTCCTATTATCAGACAAACATTTCTAGCATGAATAGGCAACTGGGAACATTAAGTTAGTTAATCTTTTCTTTGTATCTCTTTAATGTATATGAAGATTTGAACATCTTACCCTCTTCATCACATAGTTTTTTTGGATAAATTAAAAAAAAATCTATAAAATAGTTCCAAACATGCAACAAAATAGTAAACAAGTAGAAAAGATAAGAGAGAAATCAATATTTTGATATGATGAGCTTATCTATTGTGTGGTAATATTAAACAGAAGAAAACTTAGAACAAGTCCATAAGAGAATTGAGAAATTAATTTTTCATATATAATATAAAAATCTGTCTGTTTCAAAATTTAAAAAATACATGAATAAGATAACTGGCAACAACTTTTTCCTTCCTTATATGCCCCACCTTTACTGATTCATAAATATGGCGATAACAAAGAATGTATGATACAATCCATTCGATTTGTACCACTAACCCACCCAGATGTTAAAGGTTTTAATATACTAAAACAGGACTTAATATTTATTTTGAAATATTTATGAGAGGCATATATATCTAATTTAGATAGAAAACTTTACGTGAGGACAAGCATAAGGAAATTGTTTGGGATGCAACCGTCAACTGTCAGTCTTGTAAGAATGTTTCTGCAATTTTTTCATTCTCATACTTCCTACCTCTTTCGAACGAAGGGAAGAATTTATCAAAGTAGTTATATTTCGTTTCATACAGATCTTCATTACCTACCCAGCAGAATTTAATTTTTAATTATCAGTCAAAAATTAAGTTCAGCTGAGAAGTTAAGCGCAGCAATTTTTAAACATTATCTTGATTCACTGAAGAAAAAGATTAAAAAGGCCGCAGGAGAGGAGAAGAAATTAACAATGGCAAGCTAAAAACGCAAGCAAAGATATATATATTTATTTATTGTTATATTTGAAGGCTCTAAATTATACAAATTAAAAACCAAGCAAGGATACCATTAATTTCTAATCTACTATTCGTTTTGCAAACATAAAGTTTTTGCGCCCGCTATATGTATATATATATATATATATTTTTTTTTTCTAAAATATTTTCTGGATTATGAAAAAAATTTTTTAAGGTGAAATTATTTCTGTCATCTACTGCTTTGTGCGAATTTTTTTTTTTTTATAACTTTTTTTTTATAATTTTTTTATAACGAATTTTTTTATAACTGCATTATTAGGGGCAGCAACAATACAATACATCAGTCATTTTGGAGAAAATTTGGGTGTAGATTCTATTGAATAATACTTCCCTCACTGATGATTATTTCACGAAAACCGGATAACGAGGACCAGTTTATAACTAATGAAGACCTTATTAGGTGTGAGATGACTAAGCAACAATAGCTGATAACATCAAAACATGACATTACAACTATGTCATAACATAGTGAATGTCAATCTTTTTGCATATTGTGTCTTTAAAATCATATATGTAAAAGTTCGCATATTTGTTTATTTTTAGACAAATAAATGAAATACATCAATAAAGAAAACCATAATCTGTCGAGAAATGACCTATTTCAAGTCAAAAAATATTACTGCCACTGAAGATGGACGCAATAATGTGAATTGGAGAATATTACGAGAGAAACTTCTACAAGACTTCTGGTAAGCTTTGCACAATGAATTATTTGCCAATCAGACTATTTCCCGGTACGATACATTATGTTCAGTTTTCAATCAATTGTACAATTATTCTTTTCTGAATTATTACTGGTAATTTTGTTCGCTATATCAGTCGAGAATGAAAAATTTGGTTTCTACTGTAACCATTGTTCTACTAATTGGCTACATAAGCTTTATTAATTTTCTGAAATTAATTTAACTGAAAATACAAGTTTTTAAATTTTGATAACCTGGAGATGAAGATGTAATTGTAGCTGTCTGTTGCGAAATTATAGATGTTGAAACACTTTGACCGACCTGCTTCGGTAAAATATCAACACGAATAGGACACCCTGAAAAATACATCAATACATTTGCAATGTCAGCAGAAAAAAAGTATCATCGATATACATCGAGATTTCTTTCTCTGAAGATTCTCGTAAGTATTAAAAAGTATGACTCATGACTCAGACTATGTCCATAAAAAATATGACTCAGACTATGTCCATTTAAAATTGCTATTACAGTTGTTACATTTCAGTCTGTATTGATTTGATATCATCTGAATATAACATCAGAATGAAAAATTAATGGAATGATACTTCTCAATAGCAATTCTATGAAATGTAATATTAGACTGAATGAATATTTGTAGGACAAAGATAATAATGAATTTGATAACAAAGACAATATAAAGTCATTTAATGATATGTTCCAAAATTTTGATTAGAATTTGAAATTTTACAACATTTCATACCAAAAAATATTCAGCGCTTCTAGAAGCTAAAAGATTAATTGATAGCGAATGATCGACAAATTCAATGGTACGTACAGAAAACGAAGAAGCAGTCGTATAAAACAAGAAATAGAAAAAGTAGTAAATTTTGGTTTAGAAAATATAATAGGAAGAATGGAATATCATCTCAGCATTGGAAATACAAAGAAATCAGCTTTAATGATAAAGCGCATACACTGATTCAAATGCGCTTCCCTCAAGAAAAAAAAATTCAAAATAGAAAATAAATTCGACATTACCTCTCATTTGCAAAGTTTTTTAAAAGTTTTCATCACACTGATTTCCAAGGCAAAGTAAATTCATGAAAGTTCTTCAATGATTAAAAATGTTTTCGTTCAAACTGTCATTTTTGTAACGGAATTCAAATGCAGACTTCATTTATGACAACTAGAAATATTCAAAAAAATAAACGTGTACTTAAATAGATTTCAACAGAATCTATAGAAAACTTATTATATATAACAAAAAATGAAGGATAAATAAATGCGAAATGCGTTCAATCGCGGGATGAAAAGAAACGAAGGAGATAAAAATAAATATTTACAGGTCTCTAAAAGAATAATTTGTCACTTCTTTTTATGTTACTGCCGAATGAATGGGGAAGTTATAACAGACAATATTGCATTCGCAAAAAGTAACTATGGCCCTTCTTCTGACCGAAACAACTTTCAGTCAATAAATCATTTTTGAATCATTTCATTTATTTGTCCATCCTATTATTTATTGACTAACATGATGTTTATTTGCTTATTTAATCAACTAAGCTTTATTTAACTTACTTTTTATGCAATAAAATTTGTTAACTCACTGATCTTATTTTAATTTGAATGTTTCACTTTATTCTTTGTAGTATATTTCACTGTCAACTTTAGCCCTTTCACTGATAACTTCTACTGATAATGTTACAACATATAAAAATACCATCGCTTCGAATTCAATAAAACAGAGAATTAAATTCTTTTTAAAAAAATGACAACCTTATATGAAATTAATGAAAAGAATTGAAATCAGAAAACATACCCTGCACTTGTTCGCCATTGAATGTTACATCGATAACATATTTGCCTGGATATTGCGGGATAAACGTGACCAAACAACGCCCGGCACCTTGCATTTGTACATTATTTGGTACTTTTCCTTGATTAATACTGATTTCCAGCTGTCCTTTTCCAGCATCAACAGCATCAACTGCAGGCACAACATATAATTGGGATAGGTAATGTCGTTCTTGACTCATTTTTTAAAAATTGATTTCAGAATTACTTTCAGTTACTGTAGCCGAAAAGTTAAAAAATAGACATGAGGAAAATTCGTCAAACAAATCAGAATTTCATGAAATTTATACTGTTGCATTATCTGAGATTGAGATGGATTCACAGTAAGCAAATAACTCAGCAGAAACGTTCTATTAATAGCTGAAAAAAATGATGTACTAATGAAGACACAAAGAATATCAGAAGTAATAAGATGATCGATAACCATCCATAAGTAAATTCAGCATGAAATTTTTTGCTCAGATTATAACATAGGAAATGTTACTTTTGCTGTCACTGTTGTTGTTGTAGATAATACATTGCGGAGTTAACAGATGAGAAGATAATGTGTTAGTTACTATTAGTGATAACGGTGATGATATTACTTAATCGACACTGTCTAGTGTTGACAACAGTGTTGATGATGAGAGGGAATGACAGTAATTGGTTGACAGTGATTACTGTCTATGCAAAATATTCTAGTACTGATAGGCAGTGGGATACCACCTGCCAACCAACCAGCAGCGCCCAGAAAGCAGCTTCCTATTTTGTGGCACAATACCGCAGTGACTGTTGCTTTCCTGTCGTCGATTGAGGGCGACACAAAATGCATGGATGGATAGAAGAGGGAAAATGACAGCATAAAGAACAAAGTGAGCTGCTCCGCCTTCGACGCACACAAACTACTGCAGGAACTAAACTCGATGATGCGGTAATTAAAACAAGAAGCAAAAATGGAACACTGTGACAAAGATGTCCAAGTTTGATCTAACAAATTACCGACGTGTGCAAAAACTGTTACATCGGTAACTTGTTAGGTCAAACTTGGACACGATGGAAGAGGGTAACTTGCATATTCAAGAGAGAGCAAGTGGCTCGAGCTTCGAGAATTTAAATGGCTGGTATAAAAGGTTCGCAGACTCGAACATTTCCTAAACCTAAATAATTTCATCACTAAACTATTTTATTTAAAAATATCCATCAAAAAACCGATATTTTTTTTTTTTGCTGATTCGCCATGGGAATGAACATAAATTTTGCATCAGAACTTTTAATCGGTCGAAGATTGTCATAGGTCACAGGTTGATCCTTAGTTATGATTAAAAAAAGCATTTCAGTATTTTTTAACTTTACTACTGAAGAAAAGAAATATGTGTTGTTATTCCTTCCCACATTTTCTATTTCGCTTCATAATTGCTGGAAGTAGCTAAAATGTTATCAGTATTGACGATAATGCTTACTAATTTTTTTTGTGTACTTTTCTCTTCAATCATCTCAAAAGTAACATTTTATAGCGATCTTATCAAAGAAATTATAGAGCGCTTTTAGGAATCCAATGTACTTCTAGGCTTCTCATTCCTTCCAAAGTTCGATTCTACCCCACTTTCCAACATCTATTCATTATTAAGCTTAAAATATTTTTTTGTTCTTAACAACTCCCATTAAATAAACTTGGAACTACTTTACTTCAATTATTATTAGGTGAAAAGTGTTAAGTATCAATTCAACATTACTTGCTGAAATGATGTGTGCTCGTAAAATATAACATAAGAAAACGGTCTAACGTTAGTTGCAGTGATAAGATAAGCAGAATAGGAGAATGATATGAAATAAACAAACTACGGTAAAATACGATGTTATGAAAGATAAACAGAAACTTTTTTAACTTTAAACCAAGTAACTTGAAAAGAGAAATGCAGAGTTATATGAAACATTATAAATACAAATTAAAATGCACTATCATAGGCACATTACATGCGAATATGACTATAATTAAATTAATATAATACAAAATCTAAAACTCGTTGAACAATTTTAGATTGTTAAACAGATTTTCATTGTATATATTTAATACATAAAACTGCGCAACACAATTTCGCACTTGCATTGGCCGAAAAAAAAAAAAAAAGAACCAAAAATATTGTAATCATGTTTTTCTATGAACTCCGAGGTAAACAATTTCTTGAGTATAATAAAGTGAAATCAGTTTTACTTATTAATAGCAAAATATTCTTCAGAGAAAAGAAATGTGATGAAAAAAAGTCTGGGCGATCGACCATGCATGAATTCTTAGATTTTTGTTCAACTTAGACTCTTTAGACTTCAGGAATGAAAAGAGAAGGGTTGATACGTGGAGAAATTAGTATATTTTGAACCTAAATGAGATCTGTAATATCACCAATGATATTGAAAAACTTTGATAACTATGCAGTAATTTTTTTGAACAGAGCATCAAGGTTAATCAAATCAGAAGACGATTTCAGTAAAGTAATGGGAAAAATAATACATGCATTTGGAACTAACAAAATATGTGAACATTTATGAGGAGGTTACCTGTCCTAATTCGTCCTTCATAAAGTAAACAAGGATTTACACCGCTATATAATTATCAACAAATCAGTAGTGCATGAAACGAATCCCAGTAAACCTGTCCCTTTCATCACTCAAGCTGAATACAACAATACTGTTCCTTTTTATATCAACAAAAAAAAAAAAAAAAAAAACATTCTTTAAAAAAAATTAAAAATTGAAAAAACCTTGAAATATACCTTGCAACTATAATATATACTACAAACTTTTGTAATGTCATCTGAAATGATTTTCATATGAAATTTAGTAAGAATTTTTTTTTTTTTTTTAAAGTGAAAGCTCATAAGGCAGTAAATTCGACTTGATCTGCTCGTGTTTTACGATTAAATACAATTTTCGAAAAAATTTGATGGATTAAACGATGATTAAGACTAAAATTTTTATTGATATTTTATTGAAAAATTAAGCTATGTTATTTATTGCTTTGTATTTATGAAAGTGTTTATCCAACTTAGGTGCTTTATTATCTGAAGACAGTTCTATAAGTTCTGGAATCAAAATTACCAACCATAAAATTTAATTTTACAGTGAAAATCTTAGTCTTAATTCGGCATTGAATCCATTATTAACATTCGTTCCACCGAAACCGAAGATAGCTTTAACTAGTTGGACCAGTCAGAAACTCTTTAATTATATGAAAAATGTTATGCGATCAATATCGCATGACACATTTCAAATCTTTTTTATAAACAAGAAAGAAACACATTCATTTCCATTACCATTCCAAACAACAAAGAGGATTTAAATTTTGAGACTTCCAGATTTTAAACTTAAAAATTGTCTCAAAAAGCTCACGAAATAATATCAGTGAGTAATGAATAAATATGAATAAAAAATATTAGTTAAAAAAAAATAAAATAAAGAAAGCGATGTAGTTGAACTCTGTCACTGAATTCAAATTTCATATTAAAGTGGTATAAGTAAGACTAAATAAAGGATAGCATAATCTCACTTTAATGAAGGTTATACTCTATCATACTGGAAATTTTGTACTGGAAAGGAAGTAGAAACAAACAGACAGAGCATTTCAAAATTAATAGTCTGAAGACGATTATATAGATAGATTTAAATTAAGGTGAATATAAAAATGCTCACCAATAAACTGCACAGGTTGTCCAGGTGTACCACCACCAAGAGGTTCAATTTTAACATTTTCAGCGGAATATCCCGAAACAGTTAGAGGATATGGATCGATTTTTTTACCACAAATTGCCATTTCGAGGTGATGATCACCAACCTGCAAAAAAAAGAAATTGAAATACGAACTAATAATGTCATATAAAAGGTTGGCTAAGTAATAGAGGGATCGAAAATGCAAGGAAATTTGGATGAAATCCACTAATCCCTTGATCAGTTAAAGATAACTTTGAGACTGCATAATCTTCTTATAGATAATATAAATAGAAAGAAAAAATAAAGTGACAAAAGTGAAAATTGCATATCATTAATTTTATTACTAACTAGCAAAACTTCGTGACCGACTATGGCATAACTAACTTTGTTAATAACATATTCACAGATCAGCTTGTTATCACCTCGTCGATAAACACTTATGGGTAAATCAGTGCCATCGGGACCTAAAAAAATTAGCATTTTTCCAAAAAGTTATGAACTCTAAAAGATTTCTTACAGCTACGAAAAAAAAAATTGAAATAAATGATAAAAAAGAGGAACAATGGAATGGACTGCACTGTATCTTATGAAGTTTTGGCATTTCAAAAAATTCTAAAAGCTTGCCATATATTCGTGCTTGTACATCAGTTTCTGTAATACCATCACCAGTTATTTCGAATGCGGTAGGTTTACCAACGGAAGCACGTTGTAATCCTATTCCGGCTAATTCTGTATACCAGGATTCGGTCTTCTCAAATCTAAATTATTTTCCATAAAAGAATGACATAATTTATATGAAAGTATTTAAATGTGATTTAGTTTTTTCTCATGCGCTTAGAGTGTTTAGTAATCTTTTTAAGAAAATCAATTTGCGTGATAACAGTGCAACTTGTCTGAATTAAGAACTCATTACTAGCACCTTGTAAGGACTCTGAAGTTCATGATAACTTAAACCAAAACAGCACTTTCAACTTGGACATCTATAAGGTGCAACAGAAATTTGTAGAGATACTGAAGTTGAAATGAATTATTTAAGCGCCTTTTTTAAAGCTAATCCACTAGATGAAAACAAGTACCATACCGTCTACTTTCGATGCTTCGTACCATTCGTTCTTCCACATCATAATTTGAATTTGTTTGGTGCTGGGAACCTCTAACCTGAATTTTCCACGGTGACATTCTGACATTTTCACCATTAAACCGCATTTCAACAATATGTATTATTGCCTGCAAAAAATGTTTAATTTAAAATTCATTTGTATAAGCGATTATTGCCAAATCGACCTCGCAATTCTACTGATTTGCACAAGATGAGAAATTGGTTGAGGACACTTCGTTTGTCACTTATTACAAATAATTCAAAACTTTCGACAAATTTCATTTTAACAAATTCTTAATTTGCAAAATAAAGTAGATATGTATATAGCAGCTAATAATTAGGTATAGCTGACTGTGACACAAGTTATTTTACTTCGAACTTCATGACATCAATATTTCGTCCTAAGCATTGCCTATTTTCTCGGAATGTGTTAGATTATAAGATGGTTCTATGTGAGATCATAAGTTTCAGTTACTTCACTAGAAGAGAACCTGAGTGGGAGTGAATGAAGCCAGATAATGTCGTCCTCCCAGTTCACGTACACGACATGCCACACGGCCACCGTTTATCATAATTTCTAGATTGCCAGATCCTGCCGCACTCGCATCAACTGCAAAAAAGTATGCATAATCTTATTCTAAAGCTGTTTTAACAAATTATTATTTCTATAAAATTTTAGCAAAATTTCCATAAAAAATATTGGACCGACAATCTAATATATCCTAAAACGCTTCTCGAACCTAAGATATGTGTACATCAAATATTGAACAAATGTCCTTAATTACCTAAAGTTCGTAAATCCAATCATGTAAAACTATGAAATCAACCAAAAGATTACAGAAATCAATGCTTCAATGAAATCACTTTGATCTTCTAAGGCCTTCTTTTACAAACAGACGAAAAAAGAAACACATTTAAATTCTTTATCAACATCCAGTTATTGGCTTTTTAACCATGAAACAATTTAAAAGGTCAGTTAAAACAATGGTAGAATTTAAAATTAACATTCTAAAATACGAGAGAACATCTTTGGAAATAGTAGAGAAGAATGTTAAATCAAGATATTGAATAGAACAAAGTGTAAAAAGATATGCCAATGATAGTTTCAAAATGAAATTGAAGGACAGCTACAAAAGCAACAAGAATTCTAATATCTCAGGAACTATGTTCAATTTAAAATAGAATATTAAAATTCTAGAATTGAATTTTTGGATAAAAAGACTGGTGAGAACAAAATTTCCGAATTTTCATT